CTGATAGTAATTTCCCACGCATAAAACCCTTAAGAAAAATTGTAAATTACTTTATTTTTCTTAACTCCCCGAGAACACGCGAGATCAACCTCGATAGGACCTAGCAAAAATCGTAAAATCCTTTATTCCCGGAGCTCTTCCTAGAAGACGCTAGATATCAATATCGATAGGTGTTAAGAAAAATCGTAAATCATGTCACTAGTTGCTAGCGTTGCAAAAATTTTAGACAAAGGAAAAGCCCGCCCTTTTGGGGTATAAATACGAGGCCCTCGGAAGCGCACAGCGTCAGTAGTAATCTTCAGTCCACCGTATCAGTAGTCCGAGGCGATAAGCCCGAGTCGACTGGCCGGTCTTTCTTATTCAAGTCGCACTTATGGTCAAAGTCAGTTGTCCGAGGTATAGCCTGAGCCAACTGACCTAGATCTTGCGGTTAAGTTAGAGTCAGTGCACCGAGGCCCATCTATGGCCCGTCGACCGACCGTGCGCCTCCGAGGCTTTCGAAGTCCACCAGGACCACCCACGACGACCGTGCGCCTCCGAGACCCCTCCGAAGCCTTTTGCATCCTGCCTCCTGGAGATTCCATAGGAACCTCCACCATCGCTGACCGCACTGCGAGGGACTGATCGCCGCCACCTTTTCTTCTACAAGTAAGACATTTCCGCTGCCTTCCTTACCCTTTCACCTTCCTCAAGGAGTATGCGTAATAAATACTGCGCACGCAAACTCCAATCTTAAATTTTTACATTCTCCATACTTAACACCACCTTCAAATTTTAGTGCGCACTTGGGGTACCTCTAAGGAGCCTCGCCGAAGAGGCCCTTACATTAAGAACTCCCATAGGAATCCACGGCTTAGTCAACCTCTAATGCCCGTAAATACTACGCCGCCGCTCCCCGTAAATACTACGCCGCCGCTCCCCGGGAATACTACCCCGCCGTCTCTCCCTGTTGATGTTACACCGCGCCTCTCCGTGATAATCACCCCGCCGTCTCTCTCCACGACACAGACACACACCACCACACACGTACAATATCCTGAACCCTCCTACTCCCTTGTCGATTCCTCAGAATTCCCCTTAGACCTCACCAAATTCCCGCTTCTAACTCCCCTTGATTCCCCCTCGATTTCCCCTTTCCCAATGCATGAGAGATTTCCTCCCCTTTCCCTGGACGAGATTCCCACTCCTCCACTCATAGAACCCCATTCACCTTCCCCCGTCGCCACCTCCTTCGACGAACAAACTCTTCCTCCCCCCGTCACCAGCTCCCTCCCCCCACAGACTTCTCTTCCTCCCGTCACCACCTCCTTCCCCCCACAGACTCTTCCTCCCCCCGTCACCACCTCCTTCCCCCACAGACTTTTCATCCTCCCGTCACCACCTCCTTCCCCCGACAGACTTTTCTTCCTCCCATCACCACCTCCTTCCCCCCATAGACTTCTCTTCCTCCCGTCACCACCTCCTTCCCCCCTACAGACTTTTCCTACTCCCGTCACCACCTCTTTCCCTGGGCAGACGTTACCTCCCCCTGACTTTTCTTCCACCTCCTTCCATCCCGCAGATCTTTTCCTAGATCATGAGATTGTCATGTACCTCCCTGGAATCGCCATCCCTTTCTTTGTCCGCATGAACGCCGTCCGACCCGCACTCCCCTGTAACTGTCACAGGAACTCCTCCTAACTCTTCTCCCATCCCTCTCGTACACACACACATACACACACACGACATTTGAAATTTTCATTTTTTTATTGTACTTATATTTTAGTATGTTTTATTTGTTTTTGTAATTTCTATTTACTCAGATATGTTTATTATATATTTATTCTTTATATATTTATATAAAGAACATTACGCGTGATTACAATTAAATAAAATAAATGAAAATAAAAATACTAATAAACATATCTGAGTAAATAGAAATTACAAAAACAAATAACAAAATTGTTATCGTTATAAATAAATGTGTGAAAAATTTAATTTTAAAATGTAAAACCCGCTTCAATTTCATTTATTAAACCCTTTCTCGTATTCCTTCATCAATTCCCGTTAGATCGCACAGGTCCACTCCAAGGTCATAGGGATTAAGTTCCCTGACCTAAATTAAAGCACCAACGATCGTGACCGCTCACGGAAAAAGGCGTCATAGTGTCTCTTTCACTGACCCATTTTCCGGAGCATTTAAAGGTACGATCGACTCGCAGGACACTCCACGGTGTGTACCTGCGAGAGCCCGAACTCGATGACGCTCCTCCGTTGCCCCTTCCGAAATTTGGGGATCGAGCGTGACCGAATCTCGGGCAGAGTTCGTTGCGCCCTTCCGCAGCTCCTCCCGGAATCGGAGCTTGGACGTAACAGTACAATCCATACGCAAATATAACGTTTGGACATAGCGACGAGATACGAATACCTATATAGCAGTAGGATTTATACACGTTGCCATGCGAAAGTTTTCTCTGCATTGAAGGAAGATTGACCGTGAAGAAGAGGAACGATGCGACGCCAACAACGCTTGGAAATAATTGCATAGCGTTCATGTTTGATGAAATTCGATATGAACTCAACAGTGTGGAGATTGATCGCAACAGCAATGTTGGGATTACCAGTACCCTCAAGAATTATGTATCGTTGACGTATGACAAGTCTTTGATTGCGCTGAACGCTGGATGGGATTCTAGATCCGACATAACGGAAGGTTACTTTAACTTTTGCGTACCGCTCAACATGCTGTTGGGCTTTTGCGAGGATTACAAACGCGTGATTGTTAACGCTCGCCATGAATTGATTTTGATACGAGCGCGCAACGATAACAATTGTATACAGGGAAATTCAGCGACGGAGCCGGAGGTTGAACTGATCAAAGTGCAATGGTGGATGCCTCATGTTATGCTAAACGAGATCGATAAACTATCAATGCTGCGAGCATTGGAAAGCGGTCGTTATCTCAGTATGAGTTTTCGATCATGGGATCTGTACGAGTATCCTCTGTTACAGAGTACGACGAAGCATACATGGGCTGTCAAAACGGCGACTCAACTCGAGAAGCCACGTTACGTTATCTTTACTCTTCAGACTGGTCGAAAGAATATCATGTCTCAAGATGCAAGCGTGTTTAACGATTGTAAATTGAGTAATGTGAAGCTTTATCTCAATTCAGAGTTTTATCCGTACGGTGATTTGAATCTCGATTTCGATCAAAAGAGATACGCTCTCCTGTTTGATATGTACGCGCGTTTTCGTAAGGCATATTACGGAATCGACTGCTTCGAAACGCTGCTCAATGTACTCTCGTTTATCGAGAAAGGACCGTTTTCGGTCATTGACTGCTCGAGACAAAACGAATCCGTCAAGAGCGCTACCGTGGATGTACGAATAGAATTTGACTGCAAGGAGAATGTACCCGCCAATACTACCGCCTATTGCCTCATCATACACGATCGTGTTATCGAATACTGCCCGCTGTCCAACGTAGTGCGCAAGATTCTGTAAATTGCACCGTCAGCAATTATCTTCAATTTAAGAGAGATTAGCACTAATATGAGTGCAGTTTCGAATAAATGCTCGTCATGATCATACCAACGTTTGTGGATCTACAAGGATTCGTCGTGGACAAAAAATTTATCGTCAAAGGATTGTAACGATGCACCTCGGACTGCATCGTTCCCGGTAGCTACTTTTTGTCTTGTATATTGTAATTCGTATTGGGCATAAGTTAGTGTTATCATTGTATATAGTTATCATCGCATATTATTCATCCGTTGCATTGTGGCAAAGTGTCGTCGACAGTAGCTATCGCCGCTCCGACCGAACGCGTCCGAAGATCGCCGAACGATCTGCGCTTCGCGCTATCCGCCGCTCCGACCGAACGCGACCGAACATCGCCGATCGACAATCCCCTCCGCAGGAATTGCCAACCGCCAAGCGATAACGGAAAAGACCGTAATTAAACGAGCGGGAGCAATAATTAGTATATAACGCGTAATTATTGCTCCGGGAGCTCTCTTCTATCCGAACCGCCGCTCCAGTACGAATCCTGCTCCGATCCTAGCTCCGGTGATCCGACGCGAAAAGGGGGTCAAGTGTTCTTGGTCTCCGTCAAGCGTTCTTGACAGTCGATCACCAAAACTCCTGATCCGCTGGCCGTACGACGCGAAAAGGGGGTAAAGCGTTCTTTGCCTCCGTCAAGCGTTCTTGACAGCCGTACGCCAGTATCCTAGACTTTGCGCACCGGCGAGAAAAGGGGGTGAAGTGTTCTTCGCCTCCGCCAAGCGTTCTTGGCAGTCGGTCGTAAGGTTCCTGTGCATTCTACATTTTTGCGAAGCGCCCCTCATTGCATAGAGGGAACGCCCACCGCGTTATCCGCGCCGCGACCGTCATCCGCCGCTGCCGTATACTTCGCGTACGCGTATTCGTATTGTTATACGCGCCTCGCGTCCGTCTTGGGATTCGGAGATTCCCCCGCGTTTTCCGCCGTACTCGCGCCGTAATTCACACGTATAGTTTTTCTGTTCGTGCCGTCCGTAATATCGTAGTTTCTTTGTCCGCGCCTCGTAGTTTTTCTATACACGTCTTGTATCCGTCTCGTCTGCTTGCCGTCTCGACAATATACACAACATACACATCTACACCGGCACACGATTACACACCTGCTTGTCACTTGCGAACACGTACACACACTCATTTGTAAATACACACACTACACACAATAAACGTTTCTTTCTGTCTCTTGTAAAATACTGTGTCTAGTCTAAATTTGATTCTGCATTCTCTCTTCCCGTGCGAACCTTTTTCGCGACTAGCGAAAATTACGACGAGCTGATCCGCGCGGAAATTAGGTTGTTTCAGGAGTAGCGGTGCTGAGAAGAGGAACTGTTATCACACACTACATTTTTTCATGTCCTATGCCATGGAATTTACTGACAAGATCCGACAAATCTTGCGCTTCCTGGTTGAGTGCTTATCACCATGGATTGCGATGGGAAGACGGGATGGTCCCGTACAGCATGGCGAAACGTCTAATCACAGAGGCTGTAATAGAATACGATGAAGTTCTCATATATGTAAAGGAACTTGAAAAACGACAATGGCTATCCGATATACTCGATAGCGATAATGCAATCGTTGAAACTCTAGATGCGCATTTCGAAGATGTAGAATTCCTACGTAATATAGATGCTTGTAATACAATACGTTGTGGAAGACACGTTAAGTATTGTGCTTTGCAAAATGTATTTGAAATATTCAACTGGTAGTCGCAACACCAGGAATAATTGTAAAATTTTTTTAATAAATACATTTCACATTAATACGTTTTATTTCCGGTCCCCGTATCACCCATATGATAGATATAAGTAGATCAATATATCGAAAGTAGACCGATAGCTGTTTAATGTTGACCGATGTCTGTCTGATAGCTGTTTACAGTGAACCGATAGCTATTTGATATTTGTTCGATAGCTGTTCAATAGCTGTTTGAAAGCTGTTCGATAGCAGTTCAATATCCGTTCGATAGCTATTCAATAGCTGTTTACAGTATACCGATAGTGGTTTGAAAGCCGTTCGATAGCAGTTCAATATCCGTTCGATAGCTGTTTAATAGCTGTTTAATAGCTGTTTAATATATGCTCTAAATGCTGCAATGGATAAAATGCTCAAGTTTCTTCATATTAATATTATTTTTAATCTTTTATTAAATATGAATACTCTTATATGTAGAATATTAGCATTACGCTTTTGAGGCTTTCACGAGTATTTTCTTCAATTATACCAGAAGATTTGTGGATTATCGCCGTGTCTTTCTTCATTGTTAATGCCAACGTTTCGTGAACCGTACCGTTCACTTCATCAGGGCGAGGGGTGCGCTGATACTGAGCCCCTCCCCTAGGGGTCTCCCTTTTTATGTAGACGCTGATAGGAGGGGTGGGGAGAGGAGTGGGGGGAGGGGTACTTTTTTGGCCTGCCGAGAGGCCTTCCAAAAATACATAAACCGAACATCCCTCTCAGACCGATTGTCAGTTCCATAAGGTTCCCAACATACGACCTCGCACGATTCCTAACCCGCGAATTACAACCCCTGATAAGAAGGACGAAGTCACATATTATCAATTCAACGGACTTCATACGGAAAATCCAAAAAATCCGTCTACATCCTGAAGACATATTGGTAAGCTTTGACGTAGAGTCACTCTTCACAAATGTCGCAATAAAAGACACTGTAGATATTATAAAAACCTCTCATAAAGTCCCAAATAAAATCATCCTTTTAATAGAGCATTGTCTAACTACCACTTATTTCTCCTATAACGACCAATTCTACGAACAGACATCCGGGGCGGCCATGGGTTCACCCATTTCCCCCGTAGTAGCAAACATCTTCATGGAACACTTCGAAGAAGAGGCCCTCCGAAAGGCGACCAGCAAGCCAGAAATTTGGTACCGATATGTAGACGATACATTCGTAATCTGGAGACACGGAAAAGATGAACTCGACAAGTTCTTAAACTTTCTCAATAACCAACATACTAACATCCGATTCACTACGGAAATAGAAGAGAACGGTATGCTTCCCTTCTTGGACGTACTCGTCACAAAGAAGACGGACAACACACTGGGTCATCAGGTATACAGGAAGCCAACACACACGGACAGATACTTACATGCCGAGTCACATCACATCACCATCCAGCCCAAAAACAGTCGGCGATACACTCACTCGTACACAGAGCTTTCAGCATCTCTGACAAGGAACATCTACAAACAGAACTCAACTATTTGAAGGAAACCTTACAGCGGAACGGATACAATAAGGAGGATGTAAATAGAACAATTAGCAAACATAGGAGTGGGACAAAGAAATCAGACACAGAACAGTCACTGGAAGAGAAAAGACGATCCTCGTTCCCCTCCCATACATAAAGGAAACAACAGACCGAATCGGAAGGATTCTGAATAAACACAACATCCGGACCATTTTCAAGCCCCCAAGGAAGATCGAACAAATCTTGAGAAACCCAAAGGATCAGAGACCTCCACTCAGCTCCGCAGGAGTGTAAAAAATAGCCTGCTCGTGCGGGAAAGTGTACATCGGTGAAACCGGAAGAACAGTCAACACACGGATGAAGGAACACCAACGGGATGTCAGGCTGAAACACATCACACAATCAGCCCTGGTAGAACATAGCATCGAGACAGGACATCAAATACTATTTGACAAAACGGCAACCATTGCCGCAACATCATATTTCCCAAGGAAGCACAGAGAGGCCTTGGAAATACAGAAACATCCAGACAATTTAAACAGAGACTCAAGCTATAATGTAAGCAAAATATGGAAGACTGTCCTCTCGACAGGCTAAAAAAGTACCCCTCCCCCACTCCTCTCCCCACCCCCACCCCCTAACAGCGTCTACATAAAAAGGTAGACCTCAGGGGAGCGGTTCAGTATTAGCGCATCCCTCGCCCTGATGAAGTGAACGGTACGGTTCACGAAACGTTAGCATTAACAATGAAGAAAGATACGGCGATAACCCGCAAACCTTCTGGTATAATATTAGCATTTATTCACTTCTTCCTTCCTTCCATCCATCCTTCGCGCTGTATCATATAACGCGCTGCGCCAGCATTATCGCGTGCGACAGCATCACCGTATTGAGCATACACGCTCTTTAAATTATTTAATTCATTAGAATAACAATAACGGAAATGAATCGATTTATTATTATTATTATTATTATTAATTGCTTAAGAATAAATATATAAAAGAAAAATCTTTTAAGATACATAAGAAGAAGATAATATGAGTAAGAGAGAGACGGTGAGTATACATGGTAAGTATACGCGGTAAGTATAGCGTGGCGGCGGCGGCGGACTGCGGTGGGGGACCGGACCGCGCCCGACGGACCACGCGGCGGGGAGGAACGCGCGACGGCTGCGGGGAAGGA